CTAGATGTCTAATTAGCCATTCTATCGTAAATTTTACTCTTTTCCTATATAAGACAAATCGTAAATTTTACCAACGTGCGGTTCTAGCTTCCATCAGACGAATGAAAAATCTAAACATTCAAAAAACTATGTCCCCGCGTCTTGATCCACCATAGCGTAATAAGAAAATAAAAATCTTAAATCCTATCCTGCAAACAACGTCCGACTAACAACTCAAAAGATCATGCGGCATTTGCTAATCATTGGATATCAGCCAACAAAACAATGTCTAGAAAACCCTATCTTCTCTACCTTCTCCATTCACCAGCCAACCAAGCAAATGCAAACAATGATTGAAATTCATCACAGATACGAAAATAAACAATTCAAAACGCTTACTCGGTTGCGTTCGCCCTCAGGAGCATATCGGAGTAAAATGTCCCTCATATACTGAAGCTTAAGGTCGCGCGCCACATTGAGCATGGTCGGAGGCAAGTGCCTTTCCAGCATGCTGAAGAGTAGCGGGCTGAATTCCAATTGCAGGTCCTCGTAGGTATCCGGCTTGTGATCCTCCTTGGGTTGGAGACGAAGCCTGTTGGTGGTGAAGGACTGCACGCCAGGCGAGACGACGCCATTTCCATTGCCAGTCCCATGGGCTTGGGGCTGCTTTCGTCGTTCCAGCGAAGCTTCCAGAGACATGGCTTCGCATCTGTGGAGGTCGAAATGCGTGTGAAAGAAGAATTACAGAAGCATGTTGCTGAGTGTGAGAACTGAGCAGTAGAATTGGAAATTAGGGTTATGAAGAGGAAGAAGACGAAGATGGTGAAGGTTGCAGGCTAGGGTTTGGGTTAGGGCTCTGTTTCGTTAGTTGTGGACCTGTTCCATGTGGGACCCTCCAGATTACGTGGACGTCTAAACTTGGGAAATATTCCAGTGCTACGCTACTATCAAAATTTTTCCACACTACCTCCTTGCCCAAAATAAAAAGCAACTTTTAACAATAAATTTTTCCTAAGTTTTGTGAATACTACTGTCTATTTAATGTATAAATTTTAAAAAGTTTCAATTTTTTTCTAGGATACGCGACTTTAATTCAATGGTAATTGATATCCGTCTCTAACCACGAAATCATGAGTTCGAATTATCGTCTTCATACTAAAAAAACTCATTACTCAAATGTTGGGGTTTCTTCGTCTCTGAGTACTTAGAATGTCCTTTTAACCTAAGAGTACTTAGGAATTTTAGTAATTTTGGTAGTTAGTTGAATCTTTTTTTATTTATTTGGCTGAATATTTGTAATAGTTTGTCAAACTTGGGATGGCATATGTTATTGATTCTTTTCTATCCACATTTTTTTTATTTTGCATTCTAAATATATTGCGACTCGAGATCCTCTATTTTTTAGTGTATGTTTAGCATATATTGTATGGAGTGGTAGGATTGCATAGCCGGTTCCTCGCATAATATTTACTTTTGGGATAGAGAGCTGGAGTGTATATATCATATTTCATATTAGTAGAGATGGTTTGTCTAGATGTTGAGTTTTGAGGATTGCCTATACAGCTACTTTCTTATATTTGGAGGGAACGTATTTCAAGATCATGGTGATGCTTATTATCCTACTGTTATAGGGGAATAAGCGATATCCAATTAGGCGACAGGAGATTAGAAGAAAGTTAAGAGATGGGCACGAATAATGAAAGAGGGCTAGCACCCAGCGACTCGAGCCGGCCCTCATGGTCGACGCCGAGACCTCCTCGGCACCGAGCAGTTCTCAGCCCTCGGCCAAGAACCCTATGGTTCATCCCTATCGTTTTGCATTCCGACCTGTCTCGCCTCAACTCTCAATTCGACCTTAATCCCACAATGAAACGAATAGGTCCGAATATCTAGATTTCCTAGATTTATGAGAATTCGCCTTCTATAAATAAGAGGGTTAACCAAATCGTAGAGGTATGCTCACAACACCCTACTCTTTATACTCAACTACTCTGATTATAACTTAAGCATCGGAGCCTGTGTGGGTAGAGCTACACCGATCTTAGTACTATTTTGTTTTGCATGTCTCATCGATCCCTTTTATTTTAGAAGATTGGTGCGAATTTTGCAAGATCTTAGAAGGCCAAATTTATGCATCAACACCTATCATTTAATTTTACATATTGCTCGAAGTGATGTATATTTTAGTGCTACAGGGTGAAATATTGTTTATTATAATTATGAATCATCTATAAGGTTTATTTGAGATTTATTTTAATAAAAGAGTTTTATTTTATTTATCTCGTTCGGGTTGTGAGTCGCGTGTTGTTGTTTTCTTTTATTTTGTCAGCTTTTATTTTTTGAGGGTGTTTTCAGTCTCTTTTTTTTTCTTGTCCTTGTGCTACGAGGTCCCTCTCTTTCATGGCAATATTTATAACTCTTTAAAAAAAATGATTTGACAACTAATCCAAACATAACTGAGTAGATAAGACATCTATTATCATTCAAAAAGATTGATGGCTTAATCTCATACCTCACGACCATTACTTATATGCGAGTAACCCAAATTTTGTTTGTACAATATAGCAACAACATGTATGTGCGAAGTGGAAAGTTTGGCCTAATCAAGTATCTAAAAGAAATTGTAATTATCCATATTTTTTACAAAAACACTCAACTTTTCTCTGAAAAATATTTCACCCAATCAACAATCTAATCCAGCAAGCAAGGCCAGCCATTTCGTTTTCTGTTTTTTATTTTTTGTTTTTAATTTTTAAAAAACAGGTTGTTTGATTTTTATACCCGATTTTCTTTCTCATATTTATTCCTAAAAAATTTATTTCTCACTCTAAAATTTTTTCTGGTTAAATTTCTCTCTACAAAATTTATTTCTCTCTCTAAAATTTTTATATTTTTATATTTATATTTTTCTATCCAAAATTTTAATCTTTATGTATTTTTATTTATTTTTTTTCTAACGGATCAATTTCATTTCTATCTCTAAAAATTTAATTTTTTTTCGAACTTTTTTCTTTACAATTTTGTATTTTATAACTTTTATTTAACTTTATAATATATTTTTTCTTCTAAAAATTATATATTTTAATCTTTTTCATTGTAACTTTTATTTATCTATATATTTATTTATTTTCTCTAAAAATTATATTTTAAATATTTTTTTTGTCTCTAAATTTCTATCCAATATAATTTTTTCTCTTTCTTTCTAATTTCCTTTTTTTCCTTTGACATATATTTTTCTCTGATTTTACTTTTTTTTCTCTAAAATTTTTCTCTTTTTGTCTTTTAACTTTTCTTTCACTATTTTTTTTCTAAATCTTTTTATTTATCTCTCTAAAATTTATTTGTCTAGATCACTCTAAACTAGTATTTTCATATCTCTACATTAGGAATGACAAAAATTTCGAATATTTATTATTGTCTATCTCTCTAAAATTTTCATATTTATGTATTTTTTTCGTTTGTTCTAACCGAGATCACTCTCATTTCCCTTTTAAAACTTTAATATTTTTTAAAATTATTCTCTCTAATTAATATTTCTTATAACTTTTCTTTCTGCTCATAATCTATTTTTCTAAAAAAATTATATATTATTTTCTCGTTCAATATTCTTTCATTACACCTTTTATTCATTTATTTTCTTTAAAAAGTATATTTCGAATCTTGTTTCTATCTCTAAATTTTGTTCTCACCATAATTTTTCGTTTTCTTTCGACTTTATATTTTTATTATTTAATATATGTTTCCTTTTTTTTGTTTTTAAATTTATCCTTTTTTTTTCTAAAATTTTCTCTTTTTGTCTTTATCTTTTATTTCACTATTTTTTTAGTCCCCGCTCGAATAATAGTAGGTGCATGTCCGAACCCCACCCCCACTTCCATTTTTTAAATAATTAATATATATTTTATCAACATATTTAATAATGAATAAAATATTGAATAATTTTTTAAACTAATTATTTACCCTAGTAAATAAAATTTCTAAAAATAATTAATATATATTTATTACACTTTTTATCTTTTAAATTATAAAAACAATTAAAACTAATTACAAAACCGAGATATATATTTGTGAATATCCCGTCTCCAAATAAGGATTATTTATTATGGATCTATATTCTGAACCCACAAACGAAGTAGGGATGGTAGACTAAAAATTTTAACGAGCACGAGAATAGGGGAGTGCATCTTTATTCTCGCCTCACACCATTGTCAGTCTACCCTACATAAAATTTTTCTCTAATATATATTTCAAATTTTCTAATGTTTAAAAAACAAAAACGGAGTCCAGAGATGTTTGGTTTTCTATTTTTTTTTAAAAAAAACAAAAAACAATTATTATGTGATTTTTATTTTTAAGAAGTAGAAAATAAAAAAACCAAAAACCAAAAACAAAAATGGGGTGACTTCAAAATTCTGGTAACATTCTTCCCTTCCCTTGATTCACGATCCTTGCTGCTGAATTAATCCCCCATGTGTCGGGACCTGAACCGTGGTGGTGCTCTTCTACAGCTTCTTCAATTACATAGATAACAGCTCCTCCACTTCTGGAATTGATAAAGGAAACCTTTCCAAGCCCGAACAAAATCGAAAGAACTGATTGCTTTCTACGATAACAAAAGGATAAAGGGATCCTTGATCCTACAATTTTAAAACACTAATCTCTTAAAGGATTTTATCAATTTACATATATAAATACTCAAAAACCATTATATACCATAGGTATATAACTCAACTAGTTCATACATTTAAAAAAAAAACTATTGCTCAAAAAGCGAAGTATATGGATGGATCTTGTATTTCAAACCATTTATGAATTGGGTATAATAAATATAATGACAAACCAACCTAATTAATATTCTTGTTTCTTTCTATTAATATTCGTATCATGTGAAAAAAGAGAAGAAAAAAAGCAATAATTTGGTAATGTTGAAATCATCGACAGGGACCGTTGGCCGCACATCACTGGCGCCGCCCCTGGCGGACTTCCCAAGAGACAACCTCTCAATTTTCCCCACATTTAAAAAACCCATCTTTCGTCAACCGCGCGCACTGCGCATCCACCCACCAACTCCGAATCCCAACCCTTTTTCCCCATTAAAATCACCAACCATTCGATTCCTCTTTCTGTTATCGAAGCCATGGCCTCCCTGAGCTTCGCTAAGTTGAACGCCTCCTCCTCGCAGTGGATCTCCCAGCAATCCTTCACCCAGAGGCGCGGATCCTCTTCCGCACGCCGTGTTTCTCTCCCGATCCGTGCCGGGGCTTACTCCGACGAGCTTGTTCAGACTGCGGTGAGTTTTAATTTGGGTTTTCGATCGTTGTTGGTTTGCGGCGATTTGGAGGGCATGTTTCGAAACCCGTGTGGGTGCTGTTGTTTGTGTTGGGATCTGATCTCTGTTTTCATATCCGTTGGATTTTTTAGTCGATCGTGATGTTTTATGTTGAATGTTTGCGATTCTTGTGTTTTCTGTCCTTATCAGTGTTTTAATTTGTTTTTACCATGACTTTGACCTAAATCTTGATTTGTTTTTCTTTCCTTGAAATTTGCACGTTTCTGCGATGTCTTTGAATCGGGTGGTTCATGTTTTTCCCCTTCGTCTAGTCAATCGAAATCTGTAAATTTATCCCGTCTGAGAGACCGGTTTTATTTTGTTTTGTTTAATGCTTGGAATTGGGTTGTATTTTTCACTAGTGGTAAGTTTGACCATCATGTTTCGGCTTTCTAAATGGCAGTAATCTTGCCTCGCTGTATTCTTTGGTAAACAACCCGTCTTCTTGATCTTACAATGGATAGATTCTATTTAAGAAGGAACAGACAAGAAAGAAATAGATACAGATTTTGAGGGAGTTAGCCATGGAATTTTTTCCCCTTCTTTTTCTAGGAAAATGTGAATATACTAGTTTATTTTTTGAAATCCAAACAAATAAGTAACAGTCGAGAAGAAACTGACTATTTTCTTTATTAGAACTTATTCTATGCTCAAAATCACCAATTGTGACGATGGAGGAAATCGCAGGAGCACCTTCATCTCTTGTAATGTGACTCCATTTTAACTAGGTTGGTTTTCCTTGTATTAAGTCAGTGTTCGTTCTACTCTTTGATTTGCAGAAATCAGTTGCATCTTCTGGACGTGGTATTCTTGCCATTGATGAATCTAATGCAACATGTGGGAAGAGGTTAGCATCCATTGGCTTGGATAACACCGAAACCAACAGACAAGCTTACAGACAGCTTTTGCTGACCACACCTGGCTTGGGCGAGTACATTTCTGGTGCTATTCTTTTTGAGGAGACACTTTACCAGTCAACCACAGATGGGAAGAAATTTGTCGATTGCTTGCGAGAGGCAAAGATTGTGCCTGGTATTAAAGTTGATAAGGTAAATTATGCTTTTACCTTTGAATACACAAAGAACATCTTGTTTTTCGATGTATGTTACCAAAGTTTATGAATATGAAGTTTCATTTATCTTCGTATCATGTGGGTTTCAGGGTTTGGTTCCTCTGCCAGGATCCAACAATGAATCCTGGTGTCAAGGCCTAGATGGACTGGCTTCAAGATCTGCTGAATATTATAAGCAAGGTGCTCGTTTTGCTAAGTGGTAAGTTAGTCATGTTTCTGGTAGACCCGAGTTATGAGTTAAAATGTGAAGTTTACTGATCTGCTTGACAGTTGTTTTTGAAAGAACCAAGACCCTATTGTTTCACAGACATTTAATTGCTTCATTGATACTTGAATCTCTGTATAGACTCATGGTAAATTTATTGCTAAAGCAAATTATGCACAATCATATTAAATGTACAGGCGGACAGTTGTTAGCATTCCTTGTGGTCCCTCTGCTCTGGCTGTTAAGGAAGCTGCTTGGGGCCTTGCACGTTACGCTGCAATTTCTCAGGTATGTCTCAATGCACTTCATACCAACACTTTATCTATTAGCAAATCGTGGGTCAGTTTATAAGTTTGAATTTGGGTATTTCTCTATCTGGTTGGAAATAATATTATGGAATCAAATATTTGAAGAGAGAATTCATTATTAAAATACTTCCTTTATTTTTCTTATTTATTACAGATTTCATGAATTCACTTCGTTTGCAGGATAATGGCCTAGTACCTATTGTAGAACCTGAGATCCTTCTTGATGGGGACCATTCCATTGACAGGACACTTGAAGTGGCTGAAAAGGTCTGGTCAGAAGTATTCTTCTATTTGGCCAAAAACAATGTTCTGTTCGAAGGAATCCTTCTAAAGCCTAGCATGGTAACACCTGGGGCCGAACACAAGGAGAAGGCCTCTCCTGAAACTATTGCTAAATACACTCTAACAATGCTTAGGAGAAGAGTTCCTCCTGCAGTTCCTGGAATCATGGTATGAATAACTAAACCAGTTTTCTACTGTTTGATGGCATACAGAATTTCTTTATTAGGCACCGTGATGTAAGGTGCTCATCAAGACTATATTATCTCGTAGAATTTGAAGGGATATAGGACCAGTTTACATAGAATGCCTATTTTCATATGATAAATCAAAATAGGATCAATGGAACATTTTTTAGTGAAATAGCGAAGGATATTCTATTAGCAAAGAAAAAGGAGGTTGAGGGGATTCGTTTATGTTGTTCCAGTCAATCAGAAGGCGCGGAAATTCTATAGGATGTCTTTTTCATCCTCAAGTGTCACTCTTGGTGGCTGGTGCCAAAAGTTATAGGATTGTGCAGTTGTCTTACAGTATTAGTGGAAACATGAGTCAGCTGCTTTAGACAACCCGTGCTTAACAAGATTATCATTATCTCTTCAGAACAAGTGGAGATTTAAAAATTATAATAGGTTTCAGCATATAGATGAAAACTGTGAATGCAAAAGTCTTCTGCTGATAGGCTTTTTTAGGTGGGATTATAGTCTTGATATAATTATGATGAGCTTCTTTGGCTTTTTGCAAAGTTCTTTACACTTGGGTTGGGACTTCTGTTCACCAAACTCTTTTTAATTGCTAATATAGAACAATGAAAAATCTTCTGTTATGTCTGCAGTTTTTGTCTGGAGGACAGTCTGAGATGGAAGCGACATTGAACCTGAACGCCATGAACCAAAGCCCCAACCCGTGGCATGTTTCCTTCTCCTACGCCCGTGCACTGCAGAACAGCGTGCTCAAGACATGGCAAGGAAACCCGAAAAACATCGAGGATGCACAGAAAGCGCTTTTGGTGCGTGCGAAGGCAAACTCCCTCGCGCAGCTCGGGAAGTACACTGCCGAGGGCGAAAGCGACGAGGCCAAGAAAGGAATGTTTGCGAAGGGATATACTTACTGAGCCCCGGTAAATTGCTATCGCTTTCGAATGTGTGCTTTTCTTTCTCCTTCTTCCTTGAAGAAGAACAAGACTTTTTTCGTTTCTCAATAGATAAGGCCTTTCCCTTCCTTGATAGAAAGCTTTTATAATAAGACCTGTGAGAAGCAAACTCACTGAGAGAGTAAGAAAATTGTATCCTACCATCTTTTTCTAAGTTGAGATATTTAGTATTTTGTTAGTATTTAGTATTTTTGAGATTTTGGCCTCTTATATGCAATGTGCCTCTCATCCTTCCGGTAAAGTGAGTCCACTTTGTTGGCAATAATTATATTTGGCAAAAGCATTTTAATTAATTATGCTTTTAAGTTTTATTTGGAATGCTTCATTTTGAGTGAATAAAATACCATGCTATATTTAAATATGTGCAATTAGGTCTATTTATATTAGGAATTCCTACGCTCCGGCTCAAGCTAGTTTAAAGATGTCTTCCATCGCCAACTTGTCAATTTAGTTTTAGAAATGCTTCTTTGGAGTTCCTTTAGTTTGTACATGAATAATTTCTCCAGCATTGGAAGATAAGAAACACATATTACTGCTGCATCAATTCTCTCCTTAGTGCTTCCCAACCTCGATATATTTTGTTCTATCACGTAGAGACCCAGAATCTTATTGCCACAATAAATTGTGTCAAATGAGAAAACTTCAAATTTTCGAGTATCGTTTTACATGAGCTAAAAATCTAAACTCCAGTTCAATGCTACTCTTGTTTGTGTTGTCAATGTAACCAAATTTCCTCCCTTAAAAGCATCAGTATAGACTTTTAGTGATTTTATTTATGTAAAAGAGGGCACAGATGAGAGTGATTTTATCACGGCCAGAATTATTTTCAGTAATGTCAAAATCACTGCTATTTTAAAATGTCATGATTGGTAATAATTCTAAAGTGTCCAAAATCGCTTTAATGATTCTCGATCAATCACATAAGAGGTCATTCTCAAATGATTTTTAGTCCAAAAAAAAACTAATAATAGAAAATTGGTTTTTGAAAGAGTTATTATTTTAAATTTTAAATTTATCTTTTTATTTCACCTCATTTTCACCATTTTTTTTCATTTATAATTTTTTTGGTCACTCTCTGACTTATTCGTTCAATTTTGTTTATTCTCTCTAAATTTTTTTCTCTAAAATTGTTGTAATCTCTCTTTAAAATTTTTAGTTCTTATATCTTTTTAAATTTTTTTTCTCTATCTAAAAATTGTCTCACTTTCTAAAATTTCTCGGTATAAGATTTTTGTTCCTCTCTAATTTCTCTCTAACATTTTTCTCAAAAAACTTAAAATATTAATCATTCAAATCACTTTTAATTATATAAAAATCAGTTAAAAAAAGTGTATAACCAAACGTTAAAATAATTATATAAAAATAACTTTTACAAAATCAACTATCAATTATCATTATTATTAGTATTACTTCTTTTTTTTTCCTAAAATCACTATTTATAGAATTATTTTCAAACAGGTTGAGAATACCTTTCTCAATCCACAAGACGATATCGGTTTTCACTTGTCAACTATATTAAAACATGTCCTGTACACGATAAGCAATTTCGGCTGCATATTATGAAACGGAGCTTCCATATTGGTTTGATCTTTTACTTGTTTACTGATTTTGAATAGCATTTGTTCAAGTTGATTATGTTATTTGATTTAACCTTCCTAATGTTTGGATATGGATTTATTGTTACTAATGGATTTTTTTTTAAATCAAAATTTATTTGGCATTAAAGGGAATTAGTGCCAGATTTTTATTCTTCAATTAATTGACAATGGAAGTGAATTGCCTTGCAATTCGATTCTGAATATTCGCCAGATTTTAGATCAAGTGTATTAAAGCGAAAGAAAACAAAAAAGAAAAAGAAGGAAAAAAAGTTGTGGGATTTCGTCTTCATTTCCTCGAGTTATTTCCTTTTCTTTTAAAATATTACATCTTCAATATTCAAAGTAGATATCCTTTAAATTTAATCTATGGTAAAAAAATTTATGACATCTTTTTTTAGTTTAACCAATTGTTAGGAGAGAATTCGAATCTCTAATATTTGGACAAGAATATATATTTTAACAAGTTGTCATGTCCCGATAAATTATTTTAATTTGGATTGAGCCTAAACGAATTTAGTATTGGTTAAAAGAATCTCTCTTACTTGAAAGGTACAATAACATATGTATTTCTATCTATTTTAATTCAATTTTATTTAATAATTTGTTTCTAAAAATTATAATTTCTTTGAAGTCTTTGTAAAAATTGATACTGGGTTATTAATCTTAAATACACGTTTTAAAGATAAACACGAAGGACCTCTAACATTTTTACTATTTTTTTAAGCAAAAGTTTGAACAAATGATGCAATTAATTCGAGTTTGTAAGGTGAGTGCAAACAAAGTCTCACATTGACTAGGGAAAGGAGTGATCATGGATAACAAGTGGTATCAAAGTCATAGTCTAAACCTAACTGTGTCGGTGGATCATTGAGTGCCGAACAAATAAATGGTGAGTTTCAAAAGATTTAGTCATGGTGTAATTCGTAGTTGTGCTTAACAAATGGTACTCGAGGTACCATTGTACTTAACAAATAGTATCGGAGTCATGGTCTAAAACCTAGCTGTGTCGGTGAATCCTCGAGTGTCGAACAACGAAGTTGTGAGTCTTGGAGGTGTAGTTATGGTGTGATCCGTAGTTGTGTTCTATCAGGTTGTGTTGCACTCTTGAGCCTTGGATAAGAGCAAGCTCTCGTTCTGGTCTTCAAGAATAGACGGATGAGTGACTACTTGAGGGGAGATTTGGTAGTACTTTGTTCTAGGGAAAGATTGTTGGATTTGTAAGGTAAATGCAAACAAAGTTTTACATTGGCTAGTGAAGGGAGTGATCGTGGGTATTTAAGAGAAGACAATTAACTCAATTGGTATGACGCCTTTTGGGTAAAACCAAAAGCAAAACCATGAGGGCTATGCCCAAAGCGGACAATATCATATAATTGTGGAGATATACTTGGGGGTATCCATTGTCTTTAACACAAATCAACTCGACCTAAATATTTCGTAATTTAGTTGAGTTGAATTGGATTGATCCATAAGTCCCTCTCCTCTACTAAACTCACAGGATACCTCCATAGAGTTTCCAAAATCTAAATCGTTACATAATACAAATCAACACTTAATTTTTATCAGATTTTTCACTGTAGGGATTAAATTATTGTTACAAAATTAAAATGAAAGGACTAAATCATTGCAAACTAAAGTCCATGAAATAAATCATTACTTAAAAAAAAAAGTACACAACCAAATTGTTTTTAAAGTTTTCCTAAAAAAAAGTGTCTTTTAAGCTAACTTTTGCATTCCTAACTCTTTGTTAAGGTGTGGTGGTAAAAGAATTTGATGGCTCTCAATCAATTTAAGTCAAAATTTTGAAGTTTTGGTGTTAAAAAAATTTGAAACATAAAAAAAAAAAATTAATTCAACTCAAAATGAATGTTCAAGTTAAGGTGTTAAAAAAATTTGATGGCTCAAAAAATTTAACGAATTTGACTCAAAATGTTTAAAGTCTTCCCTTCAACTTCTTCCAAACAAAATACATAGTATGGTTGGGTGTTAGATTAAATGATCACATAACTAGCAATTTTAGGAGAAAAAAAAAGCACCTGTTTAAAAAAATAATCAAACTATTTAAAAAAATAATTAAAACTATTTTTAAAAAATAATATAACTTATATCAAACATGAGTTGAAAAAAATTAATTATAGTATGTTTGGGATCATTTTTGTGATTGATATTTTTTATTACTTTTTGAAACAACATATTAATTAAAAAGTCCCCTCTAAATTCTATAAATAATTTTCAAAAAAAAATTTTGAAATGTCATGAAAATTTTAAGAAGCATTTGTTTTAGTTTTAAGAAATATTAAAAAATAAAATCCAAACATTCTGTTAGTCAAAAATGTTTCACGTTCAAATTCTTTTGATTTATTGTTCCAAATTTTTAAAATCAGTGGGCCAAATGATATTAGAAAGCATTGGACCAAATTTCAAACTGTCTCAAATATTCAATGTTATCGTTGAAGCTACGTTTCTATTTTAAAAGATTAGTTAATATATTTAATTTTATTCCATGAAGATAAATATTATATATATTGTTTGAAGGTTACGTGGGGCAAACATATGACTACTACGTGGCAAGATATGACCGATCCACTAAGATTGCCTACCATTGAACTATTGAGCTCATCCATGGTCGAGCTTTTGAGCTCATCCAAGCTCACTCATGGCTGAGCTACTAAGCTCATTTACTGTTGAGCTTCTAAGCTCACTCATGGTCGAACTCCTAAACTTCTAAGTTCACCCATTATCGAGCTATTAAACTCATCTATCATCGAGCTCTTAAGTTAATTCATGGTGGAGTTACTAAACTCATCCATATGAAAGGATGAACAGTCGACCTATAGCCCGACTGTTCGTAAGTGTCCAATCACCTTGTCGTAACGGTCATAACAAACGTGTCCCTTCACTCCGCCTATACTAACTTGAACACGATTTGCTTTGCTCTGAGAATGATTTGCTTGAACTATGCCTATACTAACTTGAGCATCATAATATTTGCTTTCTTTTTGCAGTATCGAGCCGCCACGTGACCGACCTTAGTAGTCCAGGCGCATTGGACCAAATTTCAAACTGTCTCCAATATTCAATGTTATCATTGAAGCCTACTTTTTTATTTTAAAAAATTATTTAATATATTTTATTTTACCACATGAAGATAAATATTATATTTATTGTTTGAAGGTTATATTTTGTTATTCAATGTTATCATTGAAGCTACTTTTTTATTTTAAAATTTTAATTAATATATTTAATTTTATTACATGAAGATAAATATTATATTAATTGTTTGAAGGTTATATTTTTTTGTCCAATAATAATGGGACACAACTTCTCATTGATACAAAAATAGGTAGATTTCTTTTCTAAGAAATCATATAAAATAAGGTGAAATTATATATTTGTCCGTTGTATTAATAATTTCATTTTACTCTCTATATTTTGGTTATACCGATACTCACTTCTACTAGAAAAACAATATTAATTTTTGGCAAGAAGTTCATTAACTTCTTTTAACTATGATACTCGTACTACTATTGGGTTAACAAATACTTTTTGGTCTTCACATCCTCATTGGTGTTACAATTTATTCCAAATTATAATTTAGTCCATATACTTTCAAATTTATAACGATTTATTTTTTTAAGTTTAGTATGTAATAATTTTTTTTTATAGTTTAAAATTTGTGACAGTTTAGTTCATGC